TGCATTGATCCAAAGTTTTATTATGGAGAAGAAAATGAAACTCCTTGTTCGGTTCTTCTTTTGCCATCTCACAAAGTGAATACTGGAATTGACCTTATTCGGAGAAAACTTAGAAATATTTAATCTGAATAATCCTATATAAACAAAACTAAGACTTCGGTGGTACGACGAATTTCACATGTGTCGAATACAATGCCTATTTTCGTCGACTAAACAATTAAGTAACAATGCGCGCAAAAAGCAGGCAACTATCTATTGTTCTGCGGCAATTGGAACTTCCCCACATACGAATGTCTTGGTTTTCACACTGATTATAATATATCAACCTATGGATAACACATTTTAAAAGTAAAATGTGAATAAACTCTGTTTTGAAAAAAAAGTTTCTTTTGTATTAAAAGATCTTGTCCAATCATAAGCACTCAAAACAATAGCCAAAAAATGCTTCTCATTTTCTATGTTCCCCACATAGAATTGCTATTAATATTAAAGTTCAGGAAAGCTTTTATGAAGTCGGAATCAGATATTAAATAAAATATAAAAAAATGCGATTACTTTTGAAATTATGTCAAATTTTAATGTTTTAAGTAATGGTCCGAGTAAGAAGCAGGCAAGCAAACGGCAATGGAATGCATGAAGGTGCTAATTGTGTATTGTATAATCCATCCATCTCATTGGTTAAAACATTAAAATTTGACATAATTTCAAAAGTAATCGCATTTTTTAACATTTTATTTAATATCTGATTCTAACTTTATAAAAGCTTTCCTTAGCTTTGATATAATAGGAATTCTATGTGGGGAACATAGCAAATTAGAAGCATCTTTTGGCTATTGTTTTGAGTGCTTATGATTGGACAAGATCTTTTAATACAAAAGAAACTTTGTTTCAAAACAGAGTTTATCCACATTTTATTTTAAAAATGTGTTACGCATAGGTTGATTTATAATCAGTGTGAAAACCAAGACATCCGTATGTGGGGAAGTTGCAATTGCCGCAGAACAATAGAAGTTTGCCTGCTTTTTGCGCGCATTGTTACTTAACCAATGAGATGGATGGATTATACAATACAAAATTAGCACCTTCATGCATTCTATTGCCGTTTCCTTGCCGAATTTGCTTGTCGAATTTAAATTGTCAAATCAGGAGATATATATTTCAATCCATTCTCGGTTATTGTTTTTCCAACATTGCCGATAACAAAGACGACATTTAATTTGTGAATTGTTTTTGGCACCTGTGAAGATCGGCGAATAACCTGAGTGTTAAGAGACATCTATTAGTTGAAATGCTGATGCCTGGTAATTACTCACTTTATTTCACTAATTAGTAAACTCAAATTGCATTGTTTTCTTTTGTGTCTACTATTTGACMGTCACAGGCAAATATTATTCCAAATCTATTGTACAGTGAACACAGATTAATGAATACTATTAACTTTGATTATGTTTCACAGTGCATTTACGTTTATTCTATTTCAAACTTAGTAATGTTGTAAGAAGTTGTACTAGTAGATAAAATGGGCACTTGTTTATCAATTGTTACTCTCAAATATAAATTTAAAAATAAAGTATTCATTTCTTGATCAAAGTCTATATGCTACTGAACAATCTACACGGTTAAAAATACACTGGAAAAAATCGCGCGCTTTAAAGGTTGTAAATTTGATGTAAATATGATGTAAGTATCCTTAAGTCTGTAAATTTAATGGAAATCATTTACATCAAATTTACAGAATTTTGGACACTTACATCATATTTACATCAAATTTAAAACCTTTAAAGCGCGCGATTTTTTCCAGTGAAAAAGAAAAAGAAAAAAAAATGCGAAGAAAAAATGGAGAGGAAATCTCTCACTTACCATGTCTTCTAATTTTACAAACGTACGTTTTRTTTTAGAAATTCATACGATTTTGTGCCATGGTGGATCGAGCAAGAAAGGTCGATGTCGATGCATCTTTGAAGAGAAAAGAGTGGAGCACCGAGAAATTTAATGCAGTATTYAACCAGCATACTGAACAAGTTAGTAACATTTCATGATAATTACAGGGAACTTATTTGTTCGCACTGGGAAAGTTAATCAATTCACAGAATCTGTAAATTTACTGTAAATTATTCAATTTACATTCAAAATTTCCTTCTACAAATTTTGTACATTGATTTTACAAGATATTTACAATGTTTTTATCGAGCAAAATTTACAAGATATTTACAGAATGTACACATAAAATTTGCAAACTTTGTAAAAGGACATTCTCATTCTTTCTCTCATTCTCAATCTGGATCTTTATATATATTAATGCCAGATTGCTTTTGATTTAAAAAGATACATTCGATGAAGGCAATGCTACTCGTGAAGAGAATAGGTCTCTTTCATGTAGAGACTGATGGTTTCCAGGAAGCAACTCTTCCATATCCTCGTCGTGTCATCGATGCATTATCAAAACACGTACCYAGCATTGCAGCRAYACGAAACGATGCCCTCTTGAAAATAATTAAGGTAACTGTWATTGTCACAATGAATGTGAGATCGTGAGATTTATTTGGACGCTATTTTGCGAACGACAACTAGGACAAGCATTCACTGGAAAAATCGCGCTCCTTGAAGGCTGTAAATTTCATGTAAATTCAATCTATAATAATTACAAAGGTTGTTAATATCCTGTAAGTGTTCAAAATCATGGAAATATCGTAAAAAAATAGATTTTAATTTACATAATATTCAGTTCATTAAATTTACATCGTTTGTAAAAAGTATGTAATTGTGATGTAAATCAAATTTACAATGTTTGTAAAAAGTTTGTGAATGTGATGTAAATATTATGTAAGTGTCCAAATATCATGAAGATATTACTTTTACATTATTTACATACTTTTTTACATCCTTTTTATATCAAATTTACAGCGCGGTTTTTTTCCAGTGATTCCTTCCCAAACAGCACTTTGAGTATATCCTAGCGTGCAGCGAACTTATTCAATGGTCTTTTGAGGTATTGCCGACAACTTCTGGCAATGTTCTTTCTTTCTTGTCATTTTCTTTTTTCTTTAGAATGCTTCCACGAAACTTGATAAGGCTCCAGAAACAGTGGAAGAGTTTGTRGATCATTTAATCTTCCTGTCTCGTATGTCGACTGAAATKAATGTTCTCGAGAGAGAATACACCATCGTCACACGTCTGTACTCCATTGCTAAAAACTTCGACATGAAYATAGAAGCAGAGGAATTRGCGTTGTCTCAAACTCTGATGCCAAGCTTTATGCATCTGAAGGTAAAATAATGAGATTTTTTTATTTTAGTGATGCTTGCTTGGTATCAATGGCGGCAAAGAATTTGTATGAATTTACCTTTTTAACAGACAATAATACACGTGAACTAAAAACAAACCAAACCAAAAAACACAAAGCAAAGCAAAGTAAAAACCGCATAAGCAATAACAAACAATGAAACAGACAAAAAAACAAAAAAAATAAAAAACACGTGAACTAAAAGCAAAACAACACAAAACAAAACACAAAAATAGCATCAGCAAAAACAAATGAAACAGACAAAAACGAACAAAAACGAAACAAAACAAAAACGAGCAAACAAAAACGAAGAACAAGCCAACTCATCGCAGCATGAATAAATAGATATGCGAACYGCTCGACTAACAGAGATCTCTCGCCTCGGCTTGTCTCGTAGACGGACAACCTCGGTATTTCGGAGGGGGGTGCAGACTTTTGAAGTGCAGAAAATATCTTCTCGATTTTTCCTATTAACTTCAAAATTTTCTTAACAGTCCACCATCCTATTCTGTCTTGCCAAAAGAGACGAGAATATCCAYTTTTTTAGTAAGGCTCTCGACGATCTAATCGCATCGGTTCGTCGGGATCTTCGTACTATATCCATGAAAGTTGCTTCCCCAACTCTACTCGAGGCGGACAATATTCCTCAAGTTATTACGGAGAAAATCAAGTACCTG